AAAAAATTTTAAAAATTTGCCCCCTTAACATCAATTCCTAGCTCTGTCCTTGTCCATAGTAAAATTTGATTTTCAAGCCACGCATAAATTAAATTGTAATTCTTTGAGTTCCAATATTGAGGGTAGTTTTTGATGTTCCTTTAAATTCTTATTTTTTTAATTAAGGGTGGTAAAGGAAACTTCACTATGTATTTTGAGCTATAATTTAGTGAAAAGGGAATTTCGTGTATAAATTAATGGACCTTCTTATATTTTCCCTTGACAAGTTAAATAATGAACGTGGAGTGCGTGGGCGTCTAGCGAAGGGAGCTCTACCCCAAGCATTTTGGATAAGTTTGAGAAATCACGCAAGGCAAAAAGGTGCAATTCAGCCCAAGTGTTGTGGCAGATTAGCCCCCTTACTAAGAAGTAGTAAAAATCAACCCCCTAGTAATCAAACCTCGCAAATCAACCCTTCTGTGAAGGATGACATAAAAAATTTATATTTCCGTTTGACTCTCTATTGCTTCGTTAACTAAAGATGATGTGGCGCCCCCTCTTAGTTGATCTAGAGATGACATGGCAAATTTTTCTTCATTTTTTGGTGCTATGGCCAATTTAAACTTCAAAGTTACCAAACAGTCCTCCTCTTCCTCTTTTCCATCCATCTTCCCTCCTCCTTTAATAGCAGATCCACTCTTTCTTGAAAATTCAAGTTAAATATTTCTCTGCTAGCCACGTTTGTAGTCTAGTGGTAAAGGCCTAGTGTTATGGTAATTTGGTCCAAACTTCAAGCTCGACTATTAATATTAATTCCTTATCTCTTAAATATATAGTTGTAATGTAATTACTTTATTAAAAAAAAGTTAAATGCATCTCTAAAAGTCTAAACCCCAAAAATAAAAATGACAAAACCCATAGAAAAAATAAGAACATTGAAAAACTAAAAACAACTCAAAATCTAAATCAAAGGCTTTGCTGGTGCTAAGTTGTCTGCTCCCCTAACGTGAGTTTCATCTTTAGCAACCCAAAACTGACCTAACTTGACAGCTTTATTTTGGATAAAAGCACAATAACATATATTTCTTTCTAAAAAAAACCTCAAATTTTAGAAGACGAAAAGAAAAAATAGAGTTATAAACAACCATGCTTAAGTCAAGAAAAATAGGTTTTATCAAAGGCAAACATTTCGGTCGTTGTACCTCACTAGAGCAGCTTGAAAATGTGGAAATAGAAGTGCAAGTAAAAATATACCCATTTTGTCTCTTACTAACTGTTTATATTATAATTTTTTTCTCTAAATTAAAGAGTTAAAAACCATTCATATATTTACATATATTACTCTTAGAAAAAAGTTAAAAATAAAAAAAATTGTAATAGAATAGTTAATTAAAATAAATAAATAATGATAGAGGTAAAGTAGAGGAAAAAATATTTACTTGCCTTAAAAAAAAATTTTTTTAAAAAGACAATTAATTTAGAGTAAATTCAATGTTAAAAAATGACAATTATTTTAAGATGAAGAGAGTATCTCTTTAAATTTGCATTAGTCATTAAAATGAACTAAACATATTAAAAAATAAAAATATTACCATCAAAATGCTCGTATAGGATTCATATATTTTATAATAATCAAAATATATAAATCATTTGTAGAAATAAAATTCCAACAGCATCTGAAAACTTGAAAATCATACAATTAATTCTCAAGTTTTTAAATAAAACCAAGAATATGAGACAAAAACTCTCTTAATCTTAACATCTTCCGTTATTAAAAAAGATTTCTACTTTAACCATTAAACTATAATATATACATATATATATCCCATAATTAAAAAAAAAAATAGACACAGAAGAAATTTTGAAATAAATACAAAAAACAACAAATCTAAAGAAGAAGGTTTGGATATACCAAGTCGCCTAGTGAAATTGCTTCAGCCAGGACTTGGGTTTTAAAGGAGGTGGCAAGAACAGGATCATTCACATTACAAGAAGGAAAGAGGCACAAATTTTCTGAAAAATCAAACAAGTATATTCCCATGTAAAACATTCCTTTGCCATCCCCTTCAAGCTACATGACCTGAAATGGATCTAGATGAGCTAGAACTAGAACTCATGATGGTCATTAGGGCTGTTAACAAGTCAAGTGTCACGCCCCAGAATCCAAATCTGGGGACGTGGCAGACGCCGTGCACTCGTGAACGGGTCCCACGAATGCATAAAGCTCGAAACTTTATCATACCACAATCCGATACCACAAAATCTGAAAATAAAATTATAAAATTTTCTCTGAAATCATAAAATCTCCAAATAAAGTCTAGTTTACAAGATCATGATTTATATCTAAAAGCTATGCTCAATTTACAAGATAGCTAGCCTTCTAACTTGTCACTCCCCTCGTTTTTCCCCGTCCCTAACTTCGCTTCCTGAAATGGTGGATAAGGAAAAACTATGAGATAATTCAGTAAGTAAATATGGATAACCCTTAATTAAACTTATAGCATGCCAACAAGTATAATCACGAGAAACAGGTATAAGTACGGGAATGAAATAGACGTCTCCTCTATAGGTCATAACCAGTGTTATAAACCTCCCACTAGCAAGCACACGATTTACTAGTGTATAATCCCACTAGCAAGATTACAAAAATACCAGTGTTTAACAACTCCCACTAGCAAGAGGAACCGGCTCTACAGAAATACATGTCAACATGTGCTAGCGTTTATAAACCTCCCACTAGCGGGTAGTCGAATAACATGACTATATTGGAGACAAAACTAGGCACAAGTTAATAGGAAAATCATAATTCACAAATAATTTCTAGATCATCAGGGCAGTAAGTAAACTCCAAGAAGGTATGCTCAAATCAATAAAAAGAATAATAATTTCATTTCAAATCGATCATACTTATGTAAAACGGGTTTAGTCCCACCACCACTTCAAAAACAAGCTGAAATGTGCTTTAAATTCAGAGGGCGTTACCATAATTTACTTACCTAAATCGCATAACACAAAAAACTCACTCCAAGTGCTAAGGTGATAGAATAATCAAGAACCTAACCAAAATATTCCAAAATTAATAACCATACTACCACAAATCCAAAAGAATCACCACCATGACTGCCACCTAATCATGACGCCATTTATATCAACATGTATACTAATATACACATACACAACTCACATATCTCATAGAGCTTCATATTGAAAGAATTAAAGTACACTGCATGAATAGTCATTAGTGCATGAACAGTACCTGTGAACAGTAACCATGCAGTGAACAGTAACTGCAACTTCAAAAAATGGGGAAAACAATAGCTAATTTGACGGGATTTTTCTCCAGAACCTCACAGCAGTTAACTAACACTCAATCACATAAATTCCACTTGAATTAATGCTTAAATTGTCCTAATTGCTACCGAAATTCCTCCCCCATTTTAGCAAAAATTCGGACAACACAGGGCAACAATTAACTGGACTAAATTCAACAACTAATGGGTAAATTGGGACTTAGATGGAGCTGTCACATACCAAAATTTAGCAACAAAAACCGGGGCTGCAGTTTGGGGAAGGCTGGCGGGAAGTGCAGGGGGAAATTCGGGATCTACCAAAAATTGGGAGGAACCAAGAGAAATTAGAGTAAACCAAGCCAAATCAAGGGAGAAAAGAGGAATTAGTGGCTGTTTTTCCCTTACCAAAAACTAGAAAAATCACACCCACAAAGCAAGAGCAGCAGATGGAGGGAACAGAGCAGAGCAGATTCGTGATTTTCTGCAAAGGGGAAAGATTTCAAGGCCCTATATCTTGTTCTTGAACAAAAAAGAAAGGCAAAATCAAGCTTTTCTTACCGGTTTCTCAAAGGGAGGTGCGTTGGTGGCTGGGCTCCCTTGTTCGGTGCAGGGGAGAAGAAGAATGAGCAGAAACACATAGACAAGGAAGAAGAAAGAAGGAAAAAAAATAACTGATCCTTATCCAATTCGTTTTCTCTTTTAAGTTCCTCAAATTTGAATATTTGATGATTAGGCTCAATAATATTATTTCCTCACAATTAAGTCCCTAACCAAATGCTAAAATATCAAAAAATTTGGGATATTACATCAAGTCAAGTATATAGGTACTCGTACTCAAACTTACCCTAAAAATTCAAGTTTGAATCAAGTTTAAGTACTTGTTGAGTTCAAAATAGTTGAGCTCACGCACAAACTCATAAGTAGTCGAGCAAGTTCAAATTTGCTCGTAAGTTTGAACTAATGAGTATTCAAATTTGAATTCGAGCTTTTTTTTTCCTATAATTCTTAAATATGTTAACAACTAATTATTTAACCATAAATTTTTTACATTTTTAAAAAATATTGTTATATTAAAAGCTTAAACAGAGTTTCAACATTAAATTACATCGTTTTATTAAATTAAAACTCAATTCAAAATTTAAAAATCCATCTCATTAACTGTTGATATTTAGATTTGGAAATTAATTATATTAGAATATATAATTGATTTCCAAATTTATGTATCAATATTTAATAGGGTGGATTTTTAAATTTTAAATTGAGATATCGGTTTTTAAATGTAAGTTAGAACTCTAATTTTTTTTTTTAGAGTTAGAACTAATAGACACTAACATCTATAACTTAAATGTAACTTAAATATATAACTTATTTAAGTTAGTTTTTTAACCTTGTTAAAATTTCATGTTATTATACACTTAAATGTAATAAATGAATAAATAATATAATTTTTAATTCTAAACAGAATACTTATGAGTAGCTCACGAGTAATCATGGAAACTTGAGCTTAAACTCCTTTTTTTAGCAAGCCCAAAATTAAATTCAAACTTGACTCGTTTACCAACTAAACTAAGTTTGAGTCGAACTTAACTCAAGTAGCTTACGAGCAGGGATGGAGCCAGAAAACAATCTTTGGGGGGGGGGGGCAAAGTGTTATATGAAATGTGTATGTTAAAAATGAGTTCCTTGATTTGTAATTTATAAATAAGATTAAGATTTAGATATACAAAAATTAAAATTTTAAAGACCTTAAATGTAGACAAATTTGTTAAAATTTATGTGTGTATAAATTTCAATATGAAATATAACTTCTATCACAAAATATTACTTAATATTATCAAGATCAAAAAATTAAATGTTCTAAAGAATTGATAATACTAATTTTAAGTAAATTTTATTTTATTGTTGGATACAAATAATCATTAGCTAAACATATATTACAATGACAAACATGTCAAATAAATAAAAATATTTTGTTAAATTTATTTTATTTGTCAAGTGATCACTAATTTATCATAAGATCTATAAAAGAATAAAAGTTAAAACATGTTATTTTATTTTTTGAAAAAGGGTTTATTTGATTTTTTTTAAAGTATAGGACCTATTTAATTTTTTTCAAAAGTCTAGGAGCGGTGAGTGCCCCTGCTGGCACCCCCTGGCTCCGTCCTTGCTTATGAGTTATGCATGAACTACTTTATTCATTAATAACCCTAGTGGTCATAGTCATGGTAAATGCACTAGATTGAGGCTTGAGTAACAAAATCGACTAACCCAAATCGAGTTCCCAAAAATCCGCCTTGTTAGCCTCACAATTGAATGGCTCCCTCAACTAATTAGCGAGCCCATTGCACCTTAGGTTCAAAATAGGTTTCCCAAAATGCAACATTTCGTTTGTCTTCACACCAGCAACAAAACCAAGTAAGAAAAAAATTGGCAATATGGTTCCTTCCCTCTTCCAATTCTGTATAGCCAGAAGGATTGAGAATGAGAAGAAGAGTTGCAATCAAGGGTCATTTGCAAAATCCCTAAATCCTAATGTAATTTTTTCTTGTAAGGGCTTTTTGGTCAAAGTATTCCTTTGCCATGTGAGCTAACCTAGGTCAAGTATTTTGTCCAAGTCATTGCCTAGTCATCACCTAATCAGCACCTAGTCATCCCATTTAACAGGGCAATATATGGGTTAGTGGGAAAATGACGTAATCTTTACTAAAAGGGCTGATTTGTGAATTTTGTGTAGTAAGGGGGGCAATTTGCACCAGTTTGAAGTAGAGGGGCTGACATGCACAATATTGTAAGTAGAAGGGTTGAATTGTACCTTCCGCCACCACGCAATGCAAACCGTGCAACCTAATGTTTGTGTTGAATTCTTTTTGGACAGTTTCGCCTCAAATTTTCAAAGATTTAACAGTTTGGTCTTAAATATTTTAAACATTTACAAATAAATCCTTGAACAAAATTCAGACTTGTTGATAGCCTCTCCAATAATTTCCAGAACTTCACTCATAAATTTCCCTTCAATACTTGTAAATTTTTAATTTATTCTATTTTATGGTACAGGATTTATTTGTAATGAAGTGATACGTGAGGAAGATTGAAGGTAAGAAAGAACATAAAGGACTTGATTGGTTGAATTGGTAACATCAAAAAGATAATTACAATGTTGCGAATTTTCAGGTCAACCTCCAAGAATACCTTTATAAGATTCATTAAAAGTAATTTAAATAATTTTAAGCATATTCCTGCACGTTTTTATACAGGTTGACTTGAGAGACAGAAATGAAAAAAATTTACATTCAAGCCTTTTTCTTTTCTTTTTAAATTTTCATCCTTCACGTACAAGTTCACTACTCAAATTCAGTAGCTTATCTAGGGGTGGCAATAAGGTCCCCTGAGGTCGAGGAATGGACAAGAATCCTTATAAAATTTTTTGATAGGAATAGATTTTGCTTCCTATTCCCATTTTCTGTAGGGAATAGGGATCCCTTTCAATTTATATTAAAAAATAAATTTTTTCACTTATAATCAATTAATATTTAATTATAATGAATAAAATTCTAAAAGTTTAAACATAATTAATTAAAATTTTTTAAATATAAAAGTAAATATAAACTATCTAAACATAAATAAAAATATATTTAATATAAATAGCTAAACCATCATATTTATTCCTTGTACAACAATAATAACATCTAAATTTTACCTCTATAGATAAGTGATAAAATTAAATATAAATT